CCGGGTTTCTTAATTAACTACTATGGATGGTAAAGACAAAAGATTCTCAACAGTTTAGAGTAGTTTTCTATGAGAGGTTAGAGAGAAAACTGTCGCTTTACAATGCCTTGGTGCATGAGGTGCTGCATTTTATTCTTGCTTTATTTTGCAGTCATCCTATTACTCGTATAACATTTTTACATGATTACGTCATTACCACCATTTGCAATGTTTATGCTTTTCCATTTTTTTTTTTTGTTATTAAAGCTGCTAAATTCATATGCCATAAATCATTAATTAGAATGTATTTTGCAGGTTAGTTTGTCATGCTCAACTACAATAGAAGCACAATTTAGGGTAACATCAATAAGATTATAGATCCTCTCATGTCTCAAGACACCATAGCTAAGGTATCGACACTAATATTACTCTCCCTGACTGTGTGCTCATATAACCTTGCCAACCAGGTACAAAAATGTCCTGCATTATTCTTAATTCATAGTCTATTTATGTATTGTCCTTATTAAGCGTATTGCTCTCTAAAGGCATTGATACTCCATTAGCAATTGCTTTGAATGACCTTTCCCGTGACACAAACAATGTATGACAAATTTTCACGTATTGATAATTTGGTGATTTTAGGCCAATCTCAAAGTGAGCCTGAACTAGAGAGCGTCAGTAAACATTTGTTTTGTATATAGTCTCATTTGGTTAATATTCTCTTTAAACCCGTTGTACAGTTCCTTATATTTCATATGGGTTCGATTTTATATTTTTCTTTTAGCTATTATTTAGCTTCTTTGATGTTTTTGTCCACCATCAAATATGAAAATATGCACCAGATTAAGTGATGGTTTTACATTTGTATTTGAAATCTGGTGAGGAGATGATGGGTCAGATACAATGAGATTCCCCATCAAATCCCCTCCCCCCTCCCCCCAAAATTAACCGTTTTGCATTGGGGGTGTCAATTTCTCACTCCATTCCTCAATTAAATGGAATATGTGTACGTGTACGTTTTGAATACATTGTAATACACTCCCTCTACCGCAAAATTATTGTCCAGCTTGAGATTTTACTTTTAGTATAATTTGAACTAAAAATGAAAAATCAAACTGGACAATAATTTCGGGAGGAAGGGAGTATATATATATATATATATATTTTGGTGCGAAATAGGAGGAAGGGAGTATATTATTACTCCTTAAATGTTTCACGTGATGTTAAAGTTAAACAGCTTCTCTGGTTGCTAAAGTAAAAATATCTTTCATGAAATAAAGCCAGAGCAGGCTGATTTGATTTTCTATTCAAGTTAGTTGATGGATCTGTAACTTTTCAGAGCTAGATTTTGTCTGTGGATATACTCTACTTCGGAATCCTTCAAAAAAAAAAAAATCATGTGCAAGAGATGACTGTGGACATTCAGGCAGTAAAAATCATTATCAGTCTTCTTTTTTGCGTTCCGGAGCATCCTCTAAAATGACAGACAGAGCTTTCTTCAGATTAAGAAGAAAGTAAATTCTAATATAATATGCAATTCATGTTTAATTTTTTTTCGTCCCCTTAAATTTAGTTAGTACTCTGAGTTGAATTATTTAAATTTTCTATTGTTATTGCAACTTTAAGAATCCAGTGGTATACAAAGTTCTTCTTGGTTGATTATTACTATTACTATTACTATTACTATTACTATTACTATTATTATTATTATTATTATTATTATTATTATTATTATTATTATTATTATTATTATGAGCTTTAAGAAGTGGTTGAATTTATCACTAAGCCAATTATTATTATTATTATTATTATTATTATTATTATTATTATTATTATTATTATTATGAGCTTTAAGAAGTGGTTGAATTTATCACTAAGCCAAATTCTAGAATGAAAAGATGTAACTCAATTTTTCTACTTTATGTGGTGGTCCAAGAAATTGGATTACCACTATTTTTTATTTACAAAACATTTATATGTAACTATTAGCATTAAAGACTCATTAGCTTACTGCACATAACAAGGTTGTTTAAATCAAAAGATTATTATTTTATATATATATATATATATATATATTGTTTTACCTGTTATTGAATTGTGGAGATCAAATTTTAATATATTTTTAATAATTTCTTTCTTATTTATCAAGCCATGACATTTTTGTTTAGTCAAAATTTTACACATATTATTTCATAGATTATTATTTAATTTTTAATATTTTCCTATAAATATTCATTAAAATATGACTATCTATCCTACACATAGTGCGGGTAACATCTAGTTCTAACTAAATATAATTTACGTTTTATAAATATAGTGTACGATATGCTGATTTATTCATCCCATTAAAAGCGATTATTAATCCCTTGCGAATCTGTTATTCATCATGTCATATGTGCACCGCTGATATTTTGATTTGCATTGAGTGTATACAGATCTGAAAATTAGTCATCATGTCAATCATGGTTATTCATCGTCTATTAAGACGTTATTCAATAAGTATCCTGTTCATTGTAGGCATTTGGTCTGGATTAGGTGTATACAAATATGATGGTTATTCATCCTCTACTATGCCGTTATTCATCTAAAGAGTGATCTGATATAATCATGTGAATGTATATCATTTATCATGTGAATTTGAATAGTTCATTCTTGAATATGTGTTAGTCATACTATAAACATCATTCATCATGAAAAGAAATGTCATTCATTTTAATGAATTGTTATTCATCATGTGAACGTATACGATTGTAAATATGTGTCATTAATCCTGTAAAATTCTGTTATTCATCCTGTCAATATATGACATTCATCCTTTTAACATGTGTTATTCATTCCATAGATATGTCATTCATCACCAGTGATGTTGTTATTCATCATTTAATATGTACCTTTACACAATTGTTATGAACTAGATTCGATTTATGTAATTTTAATGTTTATTCATCATTTTCAAAATGATTATTCATCTTCAACAGCATTGTTATTGATGATTAACAAAGTTTTGATTGAATGTGAAATCTCACTTATTATAATGTTGTTTTTGTTTGATCAGCAACAAAGAAAAGCACATCAAGATGAAGTCGATCGTTTGGGAATCAAATATTTTGCCAGAGTTGCTGAAATCAAACAATCAACATAAACATATCGAATATCGGTAAATTCTTCAAGACCTTATATGTTAAAAACAATGACTAATTTTTTTTTTTTCATTTTTGTCTAGTATAATACATATTTAGAAGTTTGTTAGTGTAGTTGGTGATATTAACCCATTGTAATGTATACTCTTGTTATCAAAGTTATTCATCCACTAACGTATATTATTCATTCATTAAAGTACAACTATTCATCTTACAAAATTACAACTATTCATCTTACAAAATTACAACTATTTTTCATTGTAATATTAGTATTCATTTAAGATGAGATCATTATTCATCAGATTTGCATCGTTATTCATCTTTATGAATATCGTTATTCATTACAAAATTTAAATTTATTCGTCCATAACGTTGTCATTACAAGAACACCATTATTCATTCACAATATTATCATTATTCATTGATAAGTGTACCATTATTCATCCAAACAAATATCTTTATCCATCGAAATTTTCCAAATTTGACGCTTAATTCTCCGGATTTCATTGTTAATTAGTTGAAATTTTTTGCTCCAATTGATTCTGTAAATTTATAAGTCTCGATGATGAACCATATTAAATTTTACCAAAATAAAAATCATCGTGAAAAAAAAATTCTCATAAAATAAAATAATATAAGACTAACAGGATATGCAAAAAAAAAAAGATTTAAAATTAAACGTGTGCTAAAAAAAGGGATAAAATTGAGGGAATTAAATGTAAAAAAAGGATAATATTGGGGGATCAAATGTGCATATGACAACATAAAATTCGGACTAAAATGGCCACCTTTTTTTGCTAAGTTTGTAAACTAGATATACTTTACAAGGTATATACCTAGGTATTTGATATTATTAGCCACATTTTAAGTCGTAATAGTCATCACCTCAAACAAAAAGTACGGGTCATGATCATGTTGATATGGATGGTGGTGACCAAAGTATCGGAACAACTTTGCCTCTTTGCTTGCTTTCAAGATTAAATACAATGATGGATTCTTTTTTTTTTTTTTCCCTCTTAAGAGGAATCATGAAAGTTTCTTATTAAATGAAGCTTTTGGGTTACCGTTTCAAAAAAAAAAAAAAAGCTTTTGGGTTTTGTAAAGGGTAAAAAAGTTGAATACATAAACCACATGGATCGCCTGCGTAATAAATAAATCCCATAACCGATTTCTAAAACATGTAGGTTGCATTTTTTTTTTTTTTTTTACATTAAATGAAATGGAGGCATTTGCTTTCATTTCTGAATATTACAGCGATCCGTAAAAAATAAAATGATAAAATTAAGATTACTAAAACCTAGTAATGATATAAGTGATAACTTATAGCAAGTAATGATAACCTATTTGTAAGTAACTTGTATGAGTCTTTGAGGGGAAATACTATCAAAACAAAAGGGGACATTTTGATTCAAGAATTGCCCAAAACAGACGTTATGAAAATTGAGCCAATGAAATACTATCAAAACAAAAGGGGACATTTTGATTCAAGAATTGCCCAAAACAGACGTTATGAAAATTGAGCCAATTAGTATAAGTAGTTAATACATGGAATATTTCTCAATATCCAGCATTTTACTTGCGATCTCAGGTAAGATCGGTTCAGGATCAAGGGATCGTTTACATAAAATCCTCCAAAAAGACAGGTATACAGCAAAATTACATTCGTAAAATTTGTTTACGAATTGCAATGAAGCAAAACATCTGTACAAAGTTTGTATCTTTATCAAATAGTTTTTCTTTTTTCCTTTTATCTATAAACAGGAAAAGAAGGAAGAATAAAACTGGATCATATATTGTGTGTACTTCTGCAGTAATCAATGTTGGGAAATGCTCAAGAATCAAGATTATGATTTGCCTTAAAGAAGAATGAAGTTTAGTGTCTCACATTCCAGCTTTGAAAACTTGCCTCAATGCATTAGCAATATCATCTGCTTTTGCCTCATTTACATTGGCAACCAGTGGGCTCTCTGATGGAACAATATCGTCTCTCAGGTAGCTTCCGTTGGTCCGGAGCAGATCTTCTGAACCTTTCACAACAACTCCCTTCATAATCAATGTTTTGTGAGTTCCGGCTATCAGTTCCTCGTAATCAGTGTCTCCAGTTTCACCAAGGATTACAAACATATTTGCAACATTCAACCTCCAGCGAACGAAAAGATATCTGTTGAAACAATAGAAATTGAAGCACTCATATGATTCAGAACTCCATATCTATATTTCTGTTAAAAGCTACATGTCATTCACACTGGTCCGGACAAGGTATTAAGTGTTGCATACAGTAGCATACTTGTTATAAGCTCCATTCAGAAAATGAAGCTTATTTCTGTTCACTGTGGTCTTTAGTTCTAATTTGTAGGAGAAGGAACTCAACATTCAGGGGAACATCAAGCATGGAAGCACATGACCCCTAAGTACTTCCTAATAATTCAACTTGAAAATCTTGATTTTAGGCTTTTGTTTTGGTGAAACAATTTGAAAATATTTCCTTCCAATCTCTTTATCCCTAAGTGAATTGATCGTATATTGAACATTAATACCTGAGAGCCTGCGACCGAGATGCAAGAAGAGGAATCACTTGCATTCTTGTTGAGTTCCTGCAATACATCAAATGGCAGCGGAGACCTCGCATTCTTAGTTTTTGTCTCATATTATCTACTTTCTTTGCCTGCAAAAGAAAATAAAACTGAAGCATCAGAAAAAAGTCATGTCTGTAACCTTTCTATTGGTAGGGTTTGTTTTCCATAAAATCCTTTCATCTACCTTACTAATATCCTTCATAAAGAAAGAAATGCAATGTGAATTGCTTGACTCCACATCTTCATCAATTGGACTATGACTAGACTTCCCTTGCCCCCCTTCTGATGTATTCATCAGTTTCCAAATGGTTTTCTTGAGACCATCTGAACCCCAACGGTACTCAATGTGTGATGCATAATCTGGGTCAGGACTAATCTTCCCATCATCTTCAGTATATACACCAGGGTAATAGAGTTCACTACCACTGCTACAGATTAAAGCATCAAATTCGTTGACTTTAACATTTCCAGATCTTAAGAAATCAATTAACACTGATACTGGCATGGCTGTTGATAAAGCAAATCCTGTCAATCTTGAAAGTTGTGGATCTGATTTAACTGCCTTAAAGATCTCTTGTATTATCTGTATCATCTTTGTTTCAGGATTTCCTTTATCATCATAGCAGTCAAGTGCTACAACAATTAATCGACGTCGCCTTCTCAGCATAGGATATTTGCTTGGCACATTGTCAGCCATTTTCCGGTCTGCTTCAGACTCAGCAGCTCCTGGTTCTTGCCTCTTAATTCTGCTTAAGACCATCTGAACTTGGTCTTGCAGTTGTCGATCATCACCAGCCGCGGCCGTATCGATAGACTCAGTTAGAGATGTTTTTTCCCCATCAACAGAAAGCCTGAGGGACATATCTTGGACATCCTTAAGTGAATCATTTAAGGACTCTTCTGCAGCAAATTCATCAGCAGGGGTGTCAGTCTGCCAAAGGGGATGTCTCATCCGGCATGCAGCCACCCTTGTTAAGTACGTGCGGCAATGTTCCGGCCATGAAAATAAGTGTATATTTTTCCACCCATTCTTTCTACATTCTTGCCACAAGTTCTTCTCTGATACAAGTTTCAGTAGTGCCGAAGCAATTTCTTGCTGATCATGAGGATCAACAAGCAAACCATTGTTTAGTGCCTGAGAAAGACGAAAGAACAGATATATATGTTATGGTGACCATCTCATAGATTATTATATTGACCCTAATCCAGAAAACTAAAGGGTCACCCATGATTCCTGTTTGCTTTATAAATTCTAAGCTTCCTCTCCCGTAGAAGAAGCTTCAATCGACTACTTAGAATTATACAAACTTGTTATCATGTCTATGTAACGGTGCACTAATGTGATAGCTGGTATTCAGTGATCGAAAGATGGAAACATTAAAATGAAGGTGAACCTTTTTCAGACCCATGAATATTTTACATAATTGTGCTGAAAGAGTAGAACAGCATAACGACAAGATGTACAGACTTCTTACGTCCTATATTTAAAATTCCATGCAGAAATATGCAAATTCTATATGAATGATTGTGTGAAACGACAAACATATGCAGCTGATGCAATTCTTTGCTGTCCATTTCATTTTATTGCTTGGCGTGGAACTTCGGAAGAACTAGATATCCTAACCTAGACTATTTTGAGGTCTGATAAGCTGATCATAGGCGAGGAGGGATAGATAAACCAGGCAGAAATACGTATAATACTGAAAGCATAAAATTTGTTTACCCGGTGGATGTCAACTGGACCTCCATTTTTTGTTGCCACCATTGGGAGTCCATGCGCTGCAGCCTACATAATTAAATTTGTGATTTTAACAGGTAACTAGTTTATAATAACGAAGAAGACTGACACCGGGTCTTAAATATGCTTTGACATACCTCAATTAATGTAAGTCCAAAAGGTTCAACTAGAGCTGGGTTTATGAAGACACCCTGTTATATCAATATCATCTAGTGAAAAAGCAATACCAGAAAACATAGAACTACACAATACATAGTAATAAGATTGCAAACCAACCCTTGTTTTTGCTGCCAGGCGATATATCTCTGGGACATCGACTTGCTTGTGATGTTTTGGGAAGGCCACTTGCCCATAAAGATCATATCTATCAACCAGCTTGAGGACAGTTGTGAGCACACTCGCATTCCCTCCAGACATTTCATCAATGTCATCTCTGTTTCCCATTATAAGTGTCTAAATAGAAAAAGTTGGAGTCAATTTTAACTTAAGTATTTAAAGCTTGACCACATGTTCTGATATATGAGTTGATTTGTTTAGGTATGGTAGGTTACTTACTAGATTAGCTAACTCTCGTAGTGGACGGCATTCTCCGAAAGCCTTCACAAGAGTGGTAATGTTTTTCTTCGGATCTGGTCTTGACAGGGCTAGAATCATTGGCTTGTGGGGATTCGTGAGAAACCGCATCACCTGTGGAAGCATTTACAAAGAAAGAAATAAAAGATCTACTCCAACACATAAGGGATATTTAGCACAATAAATAACTACTCACTTCAGACCATATTGCAGGAACAGCTTTAGGAGAAGCACCATCAGAGTTTGTTAGTGCTGCAAGCTCCCCATCAAAGTCGACATTGTCTTCTTGAGCGATGACATTGCTGAAGTCCATTCCAGGAGGTATAACCTGAAAGTATGTGGTTAAAAGTAGTTTTTATCAGAATGTTAAAGGAAGTATTTATCTGAACAATGGCATCAGGTATCGTTCTTTATAGTTTTACCCTTGTTAAGCACATTACATCAGAATTAATAAGAAAAAGAAACAAAATAAGGAATTAGCTGTCTTATTTAGAGAGAATGTCAGTTAAGCAGGAAGTTAGTATCCATGAGGTAGAACACTTTCAGTATGCCGAAAGAAGCATTTATTCATAATTTAAGACACCCAAAAAAGATTGGATTTTGCTTCAGAAGTTATCACTTTCTTCTAGAATGTCCAGGTTCAGACCAAAGGTGAGAAGACTCATCCAAAAAAGGCTACAAAATTAATTTAATATCTGGAACAGTATGCTTACCGCCATTCTTGGCATGTAGCGGCCATGGCAATTAACCCCTCTTCTCGCACGAGCCCTCAAAACTTTCTCCAGCTTTACATCGAACCCATCATATAAGCCCCATTGTTCATCAATCTCCTGCCTGGTGCTGGTAATAACGAGTTCAGCAGCATCGAGAGAGAGCTCTTCAGCTTCTATCCTTCGCATTATCCTGTATGTTGAATTGATATCCTCCTTGGATTGCCTTCCTTGTTTGATAAGCTGCTCAAGCTTGTTCCTACCAAGGGAGTGACCTGTTAAAACCATTGGAACGTTCAAAGCACCTGAAAGAAGAGCCGCACTGTCCCCTGCATCTGCATAGTGCCCATGAATCACATATGGCCAGACAGGGCGTCCGCTACCAATTTGTTCGCATAAAACCTTTGACATGTTAAGAATGTGAGCTAAAGCCCCATCTACAAACTCTTGAATATGAGGCCATAACAATTCCTTCCTCAAATACTTGTCACGAGGACCAAACGGTATCCTTACTACATAAGCCCCGCTACTTTCTCCCAAATCATCTGCATCTTCAGGGCCTGTGGTGAGCATCTCTGTGGGCTCCCCATAGCTCCAGTCGACTTCCGGAGAGGAAACTTGGCGGGTAAAAAGATCAACTCGATAAACTCCCGGCATTTTTGCAAGTGCCTTAGCAAGCTCAACAACATACTTAATCTACGATTTATATCAACCGAGATTAGGTCATTGAGATTAGAATTTAACATGAAAATAGTGCAGCAATTGTCCTTCATGCATTTACCTGACCACCAGTATCTGAATCTCTACCAAGCTCCATATTGTCACCACGGACTAAACCATGCAGACTGGTGAGAACATTAAGAAGAGAAGTTTTAGGAAAACCGTAGATGGTCTATTACCTAAGTACTTGTAGATACCACTTTACGAGAACATGCAATTCAGGCCAATAAGCAGGAGTGCTCTTTAGGCCTTGCAAATGTAGTACTGATGGCAGAGTATGAGTATCAATTATATAGCTTCTGCTGTTTCCAGCCAGCAGAAGAGCAAACAGATAGAAAAAGCTTACACCATGCAACTAAAAGGTCGGCGTTTACTAGGGAGAAATTAACAATTCAAAGCTGCAGATTCTGGACTAAATATAACTCTGTACTTGCAGAGAAAGATTACCTTATTAGCACAATGTAAAGCTTCTTCTCCTTGTTCTTATCAGACCACACTTCTAAGTTCGAGAAGTTGCGCTGGAACTTTTTCCTGGGGCTGTCTAATGATACTGCATCACCCAAGACATCTCCCTTTTCTCCCTCGGACAAATCTTCAGACATATCTTCAGTCACATCCTTCCGACCTTGTTCTCGTTCCCACCTACGTTTAGCCAATCGTTGCGCATCATCCAACTCCAACTGTACAAGTTAAGAAGCATAATGGTGTCTTAATAACAAAGAACAAAAAATAAGTAAAAACTTTTGAGTACAGAAAAGAGTAAATCACCCGAAAACCTTTGAATGCTGTAACCATAACGAATCAGGAGAAGGGAAAAAAGAAAGCAGCCTAACTTGTAACATATCCTGAGCCAACCATTCAATTTTTTCATAATATATAAAGAGGACATGTTTGCTCTTAGCATGTTAACAACAGTTGTCTAATGAATAAAGTCGACTGGGAAAAAGATAAAACCGACCAGAATAATATGGAATCTACTGATAAATGGTCAAATATTTTGAAGATTTCAAGTATAAAAATGGAAACTTGTCTCCAATGCATAGGTCAGAAGACTAAGGGGTCAGATATAATTGGTTTTCATCAATGAAATTGGCTTTCTTTTCACCTAAATTTCTATTAAAAAAAAAGATTATCCATAGTACGTACTAACTGTCCTTAAACTGATTCATAGTAAATGATGAATAACTACATTGGGAAGAAGAGTACGGCAGCAGAGATGAAAATTACACTGGACAGAGAATCAACTGAAACAAAATAAACAAACAAAATGCTTTCTGTTCCAATATCACTTGTATTCACCGAGAATTATTCCCACACATGTCCAAAACTTAATTCTCGACCACAATTGAACCTGTTTGATATCAACTGGTACCAAAGTAGGATTAAATTAATCAATCCAAAGACAGAATCAGAATTCTACAATTAACAATCTACCATTTTCAAACATCTTTAATCCTGTCAAAACAAGAAGCCAAAACCAGAAACAGAAATTGAAAATTCTTCCTCAACAAAAGTGAGCAATTGACAAGGAATTCACTCAATTAAACAACCAGAATTTGAAAAACATCAATTCCAAATGACATATCAGATGTATCAAACGGTTTGAAAATCCTTAACGCGTGAAAAAAAACAATAAACATAGAGGCGAACCATTAATGCATGAGCGATCAAAGACAGAGCACATATAAAAATTAAAAAAAAAAAAAAAAAAAAAACCTGTTTCTTCTTGCGAGTGAGATGCCAAATACGCCAACACATATTCTCCAGCCTTGAGCTCCTTTCCCTGGTATTCCTTGTAGCAACAACTTTTATCCATGTCCGATGAAGATCAGTTTCATCAACACCGGTTACAACTTCCTCCACAAAATACTTGGTCGGGTTAAACTGAGTCAAGTGATGAACACCCGCCGGCGGCCTTTCCGCCACCGTGTTTGCCGCCGCCTTATTAGCAGTATTCTCTTCAATGGCCGCCGTTCCGCTATCCAAAATCGCCTCTAAATACCCATTTATCCACTCATTCCCAGCCATCTTAATTCCCTAATTATCCACCCCAGAAAAAAATAAAAAGCCCAGATAGAAAAATTGAAGATTCCTTTTTTTTTCCCCCTCTGTATTAATTTTATCAGCTAAAGTAAATCGGCCCTTTATTTTTATGTAAGTTTTTCACGTGAAAGATAGGATAGAATTCACATGCAAGATTTCTTCCTGGCTGTTTGAGTTGGATTAGAATAGAAAAACCTGGAATTCCTCTGTTTTTTGCATATGGAGTGTGTGTGAGTGTGTGTGTTTTTGGGTGTTGGCACTGTATGACTGTGTGAGTGTGTGAAAAAATTTACGATGTATGAGAGGAGAAAAAAGAGAGAGACAAATGGCAGTTAAAAGTGGGGGCCACGACGGGTGGTGATACGTGGCATCTGATTCCGTGAATACGTTTAAATTGGTCTATATTCAGTATTCACTCACCTGAGAATATAAATGGGATTTTGTTTGTTTTTTTGAGAAAATTAATAAAATCTGGTTTTTCTTCCTTTTTCTTTCATGGGTGGAAAAAATTAGTAACACATTTTCCAAAGTTTGTGCGATTCCCTATGCGAGATGGGCGGCTTACTTTAAAAATATTTTTATTGTGATTTTTTTCTTAAAATGGTGATACAAGCATTCATCCATATTAAAAAAATATATAAACATACGTAATGAATATTTGGTCTAACAGTTAATTAGATTGTCTGTTAAATTGTAACTGATTATAATTAATGATTCAGTTGCAACTATGAGTATGCATTTCGTTTCGTGTTCATTTGATATATATATATATGTGTGTGTGTATATATCGAGTTGCGATAACTATTTTATTTTTTCTTAAAAAATCTGGTATTGATATTAAGCATCGTACATTTGGAGGAATAATTAAAACCAAGGATTCAATTTCAATAAAAATAAAGTTAGTACTTTATTTCCAACTAGCAATTATATGCGTTAGAAATTACTCTCTCCATTCACAAATAGATGTCGCTGGAGAGATTTCACAAAATTTAAGGAAGCAATAATTATCTTGTTAAAATACTATAATACCCTCATTTATTCTTAATTCAATTGTAGTCCCAATAAAATTCACTTCTAATACAATTTTACATTAAACATCACAACAATTTCCAATGTAAGGGTGATATTGGAAAAAATTGACAAAATATGACTCGATTTATGAGAACGACATCTATTTTGGAATATTTGGGTTTTCCTCCAACGACATCTATTTGTGAATGGAGGGAGTAATATGTAACTTTGGTATTATTATTGTTCATTCAAAGCGTAAGTACTGCAAAATTAAGAATTTAAAGCAATTGAATTACTTACTTATTGTTCAGGTAGTACCTACCAAGTTTCATAATGTATCCGATTTAATTAATTAGCATGTATTGGCAATAAAAGAAAATATTGACAATTAATGTCTTGAGGAAAAAAAAATCATTCGTGCGGTACGTTGATTTGTCATGGGGTCAATGGTGCGGATGATTGTTATAACAAAGTTAGGGTTCGATTTTTTCTCAGGCAAATTGAGGTTTATGTGATTTTGTGTATCGGGTGGAATACTATACTGTTTTAGTTTTTCTAGATATTTTTTCTAGTAGTACTCTACATGAGTATCAGAATTGTAGAATAATGGCTGATTGAAGTAATGTTACACAAAATTCTGAAGGACAATTTGGATATTAATCATTATTGCAGAAATTTGACAGAGTGTAATGCTGCTACGTAATGGATACATGCATTTGGTTCCTCTGCTGAAAATTGTATTTTTAAATGATATTAATTAATAAATTTCATCGAAATTAGTACTCCTTTCGTCTCACAAAAATAGTTCGATTAGATAAAAAATCTTGTTTAAAAAAAACATGAAAAAAAAAGAATTTTTAGCGAAAGCTAACTAATCCGTAATTAAAAGAATATACCTCACTGTCACGTAGTAATAATTTTACTGGTAAATTATTCAAGATATGAAAACAACGATTATGGCGGGTGGAGTATATACGATCTAGAACTAGTTGATACTGTTAGATAGTAGTCTTCGAAAAGTTAGAAATCAAGAAAATGGTACAAACATATAGTGGCGGGCAGTTCCTCTCAGCCGGATAAAGAGATTTCAGACATTCAAATAGGCCTAATTATGGGAGTAAGAGAAGTAGAGAATGGACGGTCAAACTGGTACATGTATTTTGAGAAACTAATTTTACAGCTAATTTCAGCTTATTGGCGGCAAAGGTAATATCAAAGGCATTATGAGACGCCTGTTAGTGCGTGTCTATAACTAGAATATGATGTAATTGTTATTTTTAACCCACAAAATATTTTCTAGACATTTTGCTTCTTTTGAACATATAGTAGCGGGCACTCCACATGTTTATTTTTTTGGTGATATCCATGCATACATTAATAAGTCTCGCCTCTAAGAAAATAGGAGCTGAAACTGCCATTGTTAACATATTTGATTTATGATTTCAATATATATATATATATATATATAGATTTATTATGATGTAGCAAAATATCCCTCTTCCTATCATAATTATTTTCTTAATAAATCAAAGATCATTTGTCCATAAGTTAGAATGTATACACAAACCCGCACGGTTGAAGAACACGGGATCACACATTAATTCGACTGACAAATAACTATATATTGCGGCGAAAATGTCATGATCCACCGGCCCTCAATTTATTTCTTATTTATCACACTCAGAAATTTTTCAAATCACTGGAATGATTACTTCCTTCTTGTTTTCATCCTAAACTGACTAATTATTTTGAACGAAGTGTGCTTGATATCACTTAAACTCGACCAATAACATGCATGCATGATTAATTAGGATATGCGTCTTACTAAATGAATTGTGTATTGATTTGAGCCATTCATTTCCCTACTTAGCCAAAACATCCATTCACAGTACAAATTTCTCGCAGAAAAGTATACGCACCCTATAGTCCTCAACATCCTTCATGAATACTTACTAAGAACCATATTGATTTAGCGTCTTTATTTATAGCATATGTGTCAATCGTCTCTCGTTAATAAACACGCATGTCATCTCTTTTAGTAACTAACTTACCATAAGAAAAGCCACAATAAGGGACTGACCCTTTGTTGTCTAGGCATATTATCATGAAGAAAAAAGTGGCGTCCATGATTCGATTCCAATGTTGTAGTATATATGTGGCAGAAAAAACATCATCCTAAACTTGTAATGACAACCATCAATAAAACTTTATCACCAAAAATATTTGTCATCGTTGCCTTAAATAGGTGAAACCTTTCACGCGCAAGTACCTTTCCTAGCTTAGCCTTGGAACCAAAGTTAGAATTGAATCCACCCTAACTTTTAGTGATTTCTCATGAATTGTATGAAACAAACAAACACAAAAAAAAATAAAAAAAAATAAAATAATTGAAATGATGCAAATTGATTGAACAAAAACAGCATTTCGGGCCTTTTCTTTTTGGTTTTCTTCCACTCGTTTTGTGACACACAGGAAAGGGTTTTTGGTTCCATTAGGGTTCTCTTCACATGGTCGTCCTTTTCCATTGTTTATGACTGTGTTTATTCGTTCCTCCAAGTATTTGCAACTAGCCAATTAATCAGGCACTCCTCGCCTGATACAACAAATATGATAGTCATATATATTGAAACGTCATATAGAGTAATAACTAATGATCAAAATTTTATCACTCCCTCTGTTCCGAAATGATGGTCCAGTTTGTATTTAATTATACTAAAAGTGAAAATGCAAACTGGACCATCATTTCGGAACAGAAGGAGTATCAAAATTTAATTACTGTTTAATAAAAATAAATATATTTAGCGATCAACATGAGTGCATAACTTGCATGGGAAACTTGAATTTAAGTTGGATGAATGAAATTAATAAAAATAGGGAACTGAGTTGAACTTTTAAAATATGAAAACTAAAATTAATTAAGCCGCCAAATTAAATGACTATTTTGGTGATTTACGCAATCCATTCTTTCTTTTTTTTCTCTAAGGTGAAGTACAGAATATTTAAGTTTCATTTGAACTTTTTCATGTTCACGTACTTCTCGTCTGACAATGTCTTTACTTCATCATTATACCAAAATGTAACAGCCATAATATGGTACTGGTAGGATTCTGATAGTGACTTGAAGGGCTCTAAATTTTTAAGAATTTTCCCTCTCCTTCCTTTTCCTTATTTTGGTTTTGACAGTGAGTTTCTATAATTTCAATAGAAAGTGACTATTGAAAGTACTTTTCTCAGGAACATCCAAATTCGCCATAATTTAGCTACCCAACTTCGTAGCTAGCTAATCAGTGGAAAAATTAAAAATAAAAAATAAAAAGGAGGATAGAGATGATGGAACTCTTTAATTTACCTGAAAGCAATTAAAGTACATTAGATTTTTTTTAATGCTAATGAAACTATAAAATTAATACGAACTTACTTTACTAACGTATGAAGTTGTAACAATACATTAAGCAACAATTAATTCAATCAATAATAAATAAGAAGAACCCTAAACCTAATGTACAGTTCATATCCAAATTGATTACTTCAAAGGACTTCGACGTACGTTGCAAGCAATAGAAGGAAATTAACCTCTAGATATTCTGATTTTAAACTTTGGATTTGAATTTTG